TGTGACGTTTTCAAGTGTAAATTTATTTTACCTATGGAATAAATAATGTTTGACTTTGACTTTGACTTAATTAATTAAATATAGTTTTAATTATTGTTATTTGCCCTAACAAAATTCTCTGCTAGGGCATTAAATGCCTGCGCCAGCTGGACGACTGCACCAACCATTGCTTGCTGGCTCTGCGCATACAGCTCATGGGAGCGAGCAACAATTAATTCGGCCTCGGCCCGCCCCTCTTCGATAGCTATAAATCTCTCCGTCAAGCTAACCATCTCGGAGCGTCGTTGTGACGGAGGAGATCTATGCAGGAGGCGTCGCCGCGCCGCAGAGCCACTGGCACCGGCCGGCGACCGGTGCAAAATGCGCCGGCGCCCTACTCTCAGCTGCCGTCGTGCAGGCGCTGTAAAATAATTTTCAGCTGTAACAAGAAATCGTTTACGCAAAATCGTTATTTATTGGAAAAACATTCAAACTCCATTACATGGAACATTATCTGTTGTTTCTAACTCATCTGGTGGTGGTTGAGGAACCTCGCTATCCTCACTTAATGGAATCTGTAATTAATTATAAAAGATTAACAAGTGAGTACTTTTCAGCAATTCAAAAGTTGACTGGAAGAGATCCCTACATGAGATAAGTCCGCCTTTGTAGACACTATTGCATCATATCACTTTGTATGTTTATGGTATGTTATGGTATATGCTTTATTGTACAAAACAAAAATTAACATACAAATTGATATGATATAATAGTGTGTACAAAGGCAGACTTATCCCATGTAGGGATCTCTTTCAGTCAATCTTTGAGTTGCCGAAAGGAGCAGTATTATTTGGCGTAAACCATTGCCACAAGAGAAAATAAATGATTTTATAATAATTAAGATAAGCACAATTATAAAAATATTATATGTATATACAATTATAAAAAAGACACATACGCATATCTATTTATAAATATGATACCAATATATATATGAGTAATAAATATAAGATTCTAAACACCAATAAGTACAATAATAAATTATATGGAAATACAATAAATAGTTGTGCATAACATATTTAGCTCTAGAACTGCTTGAGGTTAGTCTTGAACGAAACAATTGATGTTTATTTTTGTACAATAAAGCACATGCCATACTTGAAATAATACAACTACAAAACTAGCCTGATCAACTACTGTAACCGGTAGTGGTCCTGGAATTTCTTCTATTTCAGCGGTGACAACTGGCTGTGAAGGTCCAGGCAATGGTGATATAATGTCACCCAACACAGCCATTGCAGATTCATTCTAAAAGTATTGAACATTTAATTAGATAATTAGTTTGAGTCTTTAAAATAATATTTTATTAAAATTTTTATTAAATTAATATTTTAACTGCCTCAGTGGCCGAACGGTTACCATGCCGGACTGCCACGCAGAGGTCCCAGGTTCGATTCCCGGGCCGGGAGAAATATTTGTGTGGCCTACATTTATTTCCCTCGTGAGTTTGGGTGTAATTTGTGGTTGTCTATGTGTGTGTCCATGGCACCCGCGACACAGGGTTTCCCTAGTGCGGGGCTATGTTGAGTGTGAGCGTTATTATTAAAAAAAAAAAAAATTTGAATTTTTTTATTTAGTTCAAAAATCTTAGTAAGAAAGGTTATACTCGTATAAGCTTTATTAATAGACTAACGACCCAGCCTCATTTGGGGTTGATTTCACAGAATCATGATAACATTATCTAAAACACTAAAATTAATTTAAGATCTATTAACTAATTAATTAATTGAATAATAGGGGCATATAATTTTCCAATTTTTTATAACAGTTTGAGGCTAGCAGGATTTCAACCTGCAATCTATCATTCTAAAGGTTAAATTTTCAAACATTTCATGTTATATTTTTTGTTTACACGGATGGTGAGGAGATCTGATGTTGAAAAAGTTTTTTTTCTTACCAGCAAAATACTTTGTGACTGTGTGCTACTGTATTTTGGTTAGCCGATGGTTCAGTGGCCTGTAAAAAATCAAGTATTGAACCTTATGATCTTCAAGTAGTCTGGATAAATGGATATAACAATCAATAATCAGGCATGAGTAGTATCAATCATGAGACTAGTCTCCACAATAAAAGGCATGAATTACATTAATAAGCATTCAACCTACTTGGAACGGGTCTACTGCTACATTTCTGTCCCCTGTGGCAAAGCTCTAACCACCCATTAGGGTTATTATTCGTTGCTCCAAATCATTAAGAGGTGCTACACCCTCCACCGTCCCTCCACCAGTTTGTTGCCGTTCCCTAGCGAGTGCAGAGGCTTTCTTTTTTATTGCCCCTTTTTTATCTTTCCAATACTATAATACAAACAAAAAAAAAATTGAAATATGCACATTAAAGGGGGGTTTACACGGGTCGATTTTCGCCGTGCGGCGAGTCGCTTCACTAATTGCCTCAACCAAGCCGCATCGCTAGCCCATTTACACAGGTTACTAAAATCGCATGCGGCTCTGTCATTTCCATCGAAAATGTTGAGCAGAATAGCCGTTTGTGCCGGAATTGAAATAATTAATTATTCAATTATTCAACAATTGCTTAAAGAACAAAGAGAGAAGAAAAAACAAAAGGAAAGAAGAAAACGTAATGTTTGGGTACGTGGATGGATTTCTCGACGTAAGGACTTGGGTGCTTCGGATACTTTATTGGTTGAGTGGAGTTTAGAAGATCCTGATTATTTTAAAAAACGATTAAGAATGACTACTGACCAGTTAAATACTTTACTACTTAAGGTTACTCCGCTTATACAAAAATGCGATACCAATATGCAACTAGCACTTTCTCCGAAAATTAAATTAGAAATAACCCTGAAGTTCTTGGCTACCGGTGATAACTATTCAAGTCTTGCAGAGTCATTTAGAGTTCCAGAATGCACAATTTCCTTGTTTTTGAAGGATGTTTTGGATGCTATATACAATGTTTTACAGGAGTTCATTATGGTAAGTGAAACTAGTAATTAATTATTAACGATTTATTTATAAATTGGACGTAGTTACGCGAAAACGTTCCAACCCACAGCGACCTCATTTTGAGATAAACGCAATTTTGTGTTTTAGTGGTACACTTTTTCCCTGTAATTATTTCAGGCAAATACTATTGGTTTTTCTGTGGAATGCCAAACTGGTTATTGAATGATATGCATATTTTTTGTAAATACATAATACAAGGGGTATAAAAGTAGGTAAAACGAGTTTGAAACGTTTTTGCTAAATTTAATTTTGTATGAACCTTGTTAAATAGCAATTATGCATAAACGTTTCAAAAGGAATTTAAGTGTATTATATTTTTATAAATATATCTAAAATAAATATGTAAAATAATAAATAACAATAAGGAACACACAAAAACAACAAAAAAAGTTGAAAAAATGTATTACAAAAAAATAGGACGTGATCTTTTGAGCTTAGACCTATGCTAAAAATTAGCTTATATGGTTCGAAAAGTTATCAAAAACTTATAACTATTAAACATTCAATTTTCATCATCGTATTCTTGAACCTCGAAGTCCGGAACTCCACCAAACCCATCAACATCATCAGTAGCTTCTTCAGAACTTTGAAGCGTTCTATAAAATTGAAGGCAATCCTCAGGTATGTAGTGGTACATGGATTGTAAGTCCACTAATTTCGCTGGAGCAATCGGTTTGCCATTAGGCCACAATAAACAAAAATCAGATTCTTTTATGTATTGCAGTTCTCGCTTTATTCTTTTATCAATCTTCAACTCATTGAAATCGTCTTCCAAGGTAGACCGCATAAAAATAGAAAACATTTTATCTTTATCCAACTTGATTTCTTTTGTATGTAGCCAACTAACTTTAGATGAGTCTGTAAACTTCTTCCTATTGATAATCTTCTTTTCCAGTTTAGTTGTACTCAAAAAATCAGTCTTTGTCATTTTGCAAACTTGAAGAGGTTTAACTTTTTTACAGGTTTTAATAATATGGATGTATTCTTCAGGTGTATATACGCGTTGATGGTGCTTGAGTGCGGTTTCAATTTTTGAGAAATCTGTGTCATTTGGTAAGAAAGTATGGCCAGACTCAAGGAATCGGAATGATATGATTTTCAGGGTTGGATGAGAGCTTAAGATGGCTTTCATCATTAGGACGATTTTAATGTTTCTATTTTGACCACCACAGCAATCACGCCATAGTATTAAATGTCCATTTCCAAGACAAGTGGAACATTATAACGGTATGTTATTCTATTAAGAGTTTATAACAATATGTTTCAGTATGCATGTAATGTTTTTACTTTATTTTGAGTACACGTCCTTGGCAAAATGATGGGTTGGAACATTTGGGTCAAACTTTATTGATGAAACTAACCTAAAAATACTAGCATCTTTGTGTGCACATGATGTAATATGTCAAAAATAGTACCCTGGTTATGGTAACTCATTTTCGAGTGACTTGTGGGTTGGAACGTTTTCGCGTAACTACGTCCAATTTTCCATCTAAGTGTTTGTTTTCGTTTGTTTGTTTGTTTGTTTGTTTTCATCTAAGCATGACCTAACAGCTTGAGATAGAATATCGTCGTTCACTGCGTATTGTTGCCCAGTATTTTCTTGTGTTAGTAAGCAGCAGCTGGCAAAATAGTCTTCTTCATAATCGAGGTGCCTTCAGAAGTGGAAGCTTCGGGAGTCGAAGTTTCACGCTGGTTTTGAAAAGCTTGGTTTCGGGAAGTAGTAGCTTCGGCTTCTGGAGTCGAAGTATAGCGTGTATACTCTGAGAGTGAACTCGTAGGTCTAGCAATTGGAAAATGTTGTGTATTTAAGGTTTTCAGTCTTTCTTGTGACAAATAGTTATTGATGAAGTTTTGACAAACAATAGCATTTCTTAATGGCAAACTACGTAATTGGCTTGCCACATGTACTCCGAATGTATAAAATTCATCTTGACGGTTAGTTTGAGCCAATGTTTCTAATCTATTGACTGCTTGTAAAACAGGTAGGTCCATTTTAGGTGCGTCCATTAGAGCACGCTCCGCCTTTTTCTTTGGAGACAATTTTTTTTTCTTTTGTAAGGGCGCAATATTAGATTCTTGTTCCAATTCATCAAAATATGAAGACGCGTCGCTGTTTGTGTTCACCGCTGAATCTTTTCCCTGTAACCATACACTAATATAAGTTTATTTCTTTTAGGTGCCATCCACCACAGATCAGTGGAAGAAAATACAAAAGGATTTTTTAGATCGCTGGCAATTTCCTTTTTGCTGTGGGGCTATTGACGGGAAACACGTATTAATCGAAAATCCACCACACGGAGCATCAGACTATTATAATTACAAAGGCACTTATAGTGTGGTGTTGTTTGCTATAGTGGATGCACATTACCGTTTCATATATATAGATTTCGGAACTAATGGACGCATGAATGATTCGCATATTTGGAAAAAAACAAAGTTCTATAGTGCTCTTGAAAGAAATAATTTAGAACTACCTAATAAGGCAGTTTTCGTTGGTGATGATGCTTTCCCTGTGGCAACCTATTTAATGAAACCGTATTCAAGACATGAAGGTTTGGAACACAAACAAAAAATCTTTAATTACAGACTATCAAGAGCACGCCGAATCGTAGAGAATGCCTTTGGCATAATGGCTTCACGATTCAGAGTATACAGAAAACCTATATCTGTTTCATTGGATAAAACTGATTCTATTATTAAAGCGACCTTTGCGCTGCATAACTGGCTTCGGACTAATCTCATATACATGAATACTCCCGAATTAGTAGACGGAGAGGACTTCAGTTCAGGGACAATCAGAAACGGAAGTTGGAGAAGCATTCCTACGGCAGGAGTAGACGAATTAATGACATCGCTATCTTCTAACAACTATTCACGAAATGCAAAAGATCTGCGCGATAGATATGCTGACTATTTTGTCGGACCAGGAAGAGTTTCATGGCAAGATAGAATGATTTCGTAAATATTGTATGTTTATTTAAGTAATATTATAAAAATGGCCCTATTCACAATTTACCTATTATAATTTATAATATGCGAACAAGAATAACTATTTAATTAATAATAATAAGACTTACCATGTTATCTTTACTGTTTCTTCCTTCTATCACTGGCTTTAAAAAGCGGTCAGCTACAGAAAACCAAATTAATTGAGGTCTGTATACATCATCCTTTCCCGCGCCACTCTTCTTTGACTTTGCTACCTTACTGGCCTCTCTATTATACGTGGTTCGTATATTTTTTATCTTCAATTTAAGCTCTTCAACTGTTATGGACAAACGCATTTCTTGAATAATAGATTTAAGAGCCGCTAAACGTACATTATTGTTCCTGTAATCTTGTTCTCTTGGGTTCCATAAGCATGGATGCATTTCATAGCATTCCAAAAAATGTATGGTGTTATTTTTATTCATGGTTGTTACGATACATGTACACAGAAACGCTGTAGTAAATAAATACACGTGCGTGCGCGAAACACCTACATGCGGCGGGCGATCGCCTGCAACTGATCGTTTACACGATCGATTTTAGTCACCAGTCGCATGCGGCCGGTTGCCGCGCGGCCAAAGTCGGATGCTACCCAACTTTGGGGCTTGCGGCTTTAGTCACTTGCAACTTAGCCGAATTGCCATTTAGATGGTCGATTTACGCCGCGCGGCAAAAATCGTGCGGCTTTAGTCACCCGTGTAAATCCCCTTTAACTTTTCACCCACACCATATTACAAAGATAACAAATGAAATATATATAGATAGGTACTTTACCTTACACCACTGTTGCCACGACTTTATACAGCCACTGCCTCCACTGTTCAATGCATCAGCAATCTCTTGCCATGCTGCGCGGCTGCGGTTACGAGCATTCGCCGTACGCGCATGACCGGTAGCAAGCCAACGTTTTGTTTCCATCAAATCAACTAACTTTTCAAGTTGCGTTGAGGATGGGTTCAAGTTTCGAGACACTGTAAATAATAATCGAGTTTGAATCCAATCCCTACTCATATCATTTGCAAGAATATGAAATATCATTAATGTAAACAGTGTACTTACTTGAATATAATACGCTTACACTTTTCGCACAAAGTTAAATAACAAAAGATATATAGCAAAAGTCCTTGTTTGCAGAATTTGCGAGTGACTGAAAGCGTTGCATTTCAAGTGGTTGGCTGGCTTCGCATTCCGTGCCCACAATTTTTGTCCAAACTTTTAAAGTTTTTGTTGATGTTTTTGTTTATAACCAACTACATTGAATTATCCGTTTGCATTTCTTTATAGGTTATGAGCAAAGACTGTAATACATTCAGCCAATTTATAACAAAATTTTGCTTTAATAAATTGATATAAAGTGTTTAGATTACACTTTTCATTATTTATTTATAAGTTATGTAATAATTTAATTTATAAAGCCTAAAAGCGGCCGAAATTCAATAGTCGATATTTTATCGATTGTAAAAATTATTTTACATCCCGTCCCTAACTGCCAAACATTTCATGGATGTCGGCATCGACGAATTGATAATGAACATCGGATGTGGCTCGTCGATGTTTGCATCGATGAAATGACATTTAGAGAATAGCTCTGCAGGTGACCGAGGTGGCCTGGCGACTGGGCCTCCACGTCCAATCCAATGATCACCAAAGGTGTCATTCAGATACTGGCGCACTTCACGTCCATAGTGTGGGGGGCTCCATCCTGCTGGTAATAAAGGCTTTGGTGGAGAGCAAGGGGCACGTCGTCCAACATCTCCTCCACAACGCAGCGTAACAACTGCAAATAAGTTGCACTGGTGAGGCGACTCTCGATAAAGTAAGGCCCCAACAAGTGATTTTCAACCATTCCAACGTTCAAACTGAACCGGTGTTGGAAAAAATCCCGTTTAGTTTTTTTCGGGTTGTGGTCCCGATGGCTCCACCAATGTTCGTTATGAACGTTAAACACACGCGTAAACATACTCTCATCTGTCCATAAAATGTTTACGTGATGATTGGCCAGTAGCCATTCACAAAGTGCAACTCGCGGAGCATTGTCATTGGCCGTGATATCTTGGACCCTTCTGCTGGATGAAATGGGCGCATTTGCTCGCGTTTTAGAAGGTTCCACACTGTCATGTGCGAGACATTGAACTGGTGTCCTGCCTCCCGTGTGCTAGCGCGCGGCTCCTCTTCAAAATAGTCCAAGATGCGCTCCTGCAGGTCCACGCTGATGCTTACATTGCCACGACCTTCAGCATTTATAGGCTCATCGAACTGGCGATAATCGCGCAGTCTTTGAGTCGCAGCAAGCATCACCCGATAATTTGGCAGCGGCCGATTTGGGAACATTTCTCCGAACATTCTATTCGCTCGTCTCACACTATCACCACTTATTGCGTAAAGTCGCACCATCTCAGTCAATTCGACATTTGAATATGTATCCATTTTGCGGGCGAGAAAAGCGATCGCCGCGCGCCGACGCTGTGATCGGGCGAGCGAAAGTACTTTACGTGTCTTCGCGAGGGCGGCCGCGCGTGCTCTGTCTGATGGGCTCTGCTCCTTGATGTGCCGCGCCGCGCTCAAAGAGGCCGCGCTCGCGCTAGTAGACTCGCGCTGCGTGGGAACATCAATAGGGATGTGCATGGATTTCGACGACTAATGTTGTTCACAAGCAGTAGTCGATAAAAAAATATTTTTTTTTTTTTTTTAAATATAAGTTCATTTTTTTATTTTTTCTTTGGGTTCAGAATCAGGAATATAACGCACTCTATAAGTATGTCTAACTTTCAAATTTACAGCCTGTATAATACTAAAAAAGGTTAATTAATTCATAACATAAGTAATAATAACCTAATTATTTTATTGAAAAACATTTAAAACCACAATCATTCAAGTATGAACTCGAAAATAAAAGAAAAAGTGAGGTTAGTATTATGTTAGAAAACTACTAACGTATTTTTACTCTCTGTGAGGTTAAATTATACTAATAAAAGGAGTTGATTACTTACATATCAAATTAATGAAGTCTCAGTTGGTAAATGCACCTGTTGAACAACAAAATACATACGTCTCGCATCACGAGAATACAATGACATACGACAATTTGCAGGAACCAAAACAAAGACGTCTGCCATTGGTCATATTGCTACTAATTCAAACGCTCGCTTCTGATTGGTCGGTAGACATAGGAGTTTTTGCAAACGTTAAGGAAGCGTGTTTTGTATACTTACATGCCGAAAAGGAAAAATTGCATTTTTTTTCAGATTGGACCTATTGCAAGTACCGCGACGACATTTTTCTCCGCCAAGTTTCGTTGTTAGAAGTTTAAACTTTATCAAAAACTTATATATTTTTTCGAGTATTTTCCAATAAATTTCTGATATTACAAAATTACTCAAATCAGACACAGAAGTGCATAATATGTTAATGCCAGGTTTTAGTTTTAAACATAATCCAATCATATAATGTGTGGAATTCCATCTTGTTGGACAGTCCAGTATGAGACTCAGATTTGTTGGCACACCAGCTGTTTCACAAGCCGACTGGAACTTTCTCTTCAACATCTCACTTCTTTTTATTTTACTACAAATACTGCGTAATTTTGTAATAGCCGTACTTGAGTCAGAAATATTTGGCACATATTCTTCACCTTGCTCTTCCTCGTCTTCACACTGCTGTTCTTGTTCTTGACTGTCAGTTTCAATATTTAACGCTAAGTTATTCAATAAATCTTGTACGCCCAGGTTCAAGATGTGAGCAATGCATCGAAAATGTTGATTATCCGAATCAAAATGTGGCAGTAGTTTTCCAAGTTCATACATGAATTTGGTATTTGCAGTTGCGTTGTCGACTGTGATACCCTGAATTTTATCAGCTAAGGTACATTCCAATAGACATTTGTGGAAAATCTTTGCAATATCCATCCCTGTATGTCCACCACTCGATGGAATAAAATCCAGGACTAGAGATCGATACTTCCATTCATTATCTATGTAATGAATAGTGACCCCATAGTAACTCCTACCAGCAATTGACGTCCATCCATCAATAGTGAATGACATATTACATGATTTACATGTATTTTTGTAGTCTACTCTTAACACGCGTATGCAGTACTTCAAACCGCTCTTGAACCATCCTTCGAACTGTCGATCTCTTAGGAAATACCAAATTTGGGCATATTATTTGAAAATATTTTTGTGTATCTTCGTCATCGAAAAACGAGAAGGGAAGATATTTCTTGGCAATCCAGTCAACTGTAACTGTCATAAAATCACTATGGCTTTCAGATACTGACTGAAACAAGATAACATAACAATCGTAATCCCATTCGTAAAACCATTACACAAAAAAGGAGACACTACAGATATTACTAACTATAGACCTATCACTTTGATTCCAGTATTATCAAAAATATTTGAAAAAGTCATGTACCACAAGTTTTTATCTTACTTTAATCGATTTAAAATTATACACGAGAATCAACATGGGTTTCAAAAAAAAAACAAATCCACAGCACATGCAGCGTTTCACATAGTTAACGAGATTTTACAAAATGTAAATAGAAAGTTGTACACAACGGGACTATTTTTGGACATGTCTAGGGCTTTTGATTTCGTTTCACACGACTTATTATTGACGAAATTAGAGCATAACGGAGTTCGAGGTCCAGCACTAAGTTGGTTAAAATCCAACCTTACAAATAGATTACAATGCGTACAAATAACCCAACTAAACACAAAAAATTGTACCTAAATATATAAATCTCACTTTAAAAGCAATAATTACGGAGTTCCTCAAGGGAGTATACTTGGTCCCCTGCTATTCCTATTATATATTAATGACGTATGTGATAGCACGGAACACGAAATAATTCTTTTCGCAGATGATATATCAGTGGTTGTCACTTCTTCAATAAATTCAACATTAGAATATCATAAAAACGAATTGAAAAAAACAATGACATCACTAATTGACTACCTACAAAAACATAATCTTCAAATTAATTTAACTAAAACTAATATAACCACTGAAGCGATTGCGCGCGAAAAACAAAAAAGCAGCTACGTTGACCTCCGCGATCGGCAGTGGTTATTCAAAGGTCATTTCGACCGATACGATAAAAACGGTTATTACTTTGGAAATGTACATAGTTGGTCAAATAAAAAAATATCAGCGAGTAGCTTATAAACCAAGCTTCCATGTTATGATTAGTTGTGATTGAAATACATTTGATTTGTATTTTTATTTCCAAGTTGAAAAAACACCACTCGACGATTTTATTTTATTTTGTAACTTTCTCTCATAACCATTTTCTAATAACAATCTTATAAGAAATACACTACATTTTATCTTAATCAGCGTTTCAATAGCTATCCATCGACACCAAAACATCAAAGAAATGTTTTGTTTCACTCAAGCAATAAATTAAAATGTAACACCCATTCCGAGCTCCGCTTATAACCGACATTTAATCAAGTCATAAATATTAAATTTAATCAAGTCATAAATATTTTGTTATTATGCAAATCTAAAGTCAGTATGCCATACCTCAATCACAATCTCAGTCGTATACTACGTACATACTCGACTAAATCAATATTATAGAAAATGAGATCAATTTGTAATAATGATACAGAACAAACTAAACTAAACCACCAAACTACATTAATCAAGTCATAAACATTTTGTTACTATGCAAATCTAAAGTCAGTATGCCATACGTCAATCACAATCTCAGTCGTACACTACGTACATACTCGACTAAATCAATATTATAGAAAATGAGATCAATTTGTAATAATGATACAGAACAAACTAAACTAAACGACCAAACAACATGAGTCAATTAACCGTAGTCAACTAAACTATATTCACACATACATAGTAACTAAACATTCGTCGTACGGACTACGCAATAAAAAATTTAAATGTCATCAAAAATCTTTATTAACAGTAAGAGTTTGTTATATGTCAAGAAAATTGCGTTGCTTATGAACTAATTAAGAACAACATATTAACGAAACACTATTCCACATAGTGACTACACATGTCAACATTATGGGGGCCACAAATTGCTTGGTTGCATTTCATGCAACGGTGTTTCGTCATTCTTCGAACCTTAGATGGACGTAAATAGCATATTTTGCGCACATTTGAATGAGCTGAAGCTTCAACATTGGGTGGATCCCCCAGAATATCCTTTATCATGGCCATGGGCATGACATCAATGTCACGCCTCAAAGTCACTGTTTGAACTCGCTGTCGTAGCCAGGGCTCCATGAGTTGGTCTCCTAATTTTAAGACAAAATCACGCCGAGGTGAAGGTTTTCTCTTATTTCGTATCTTGTTAGATACGTGGACAGAATAAGCGTTAATTATAGATAGGTTAAGCATATTGTAGAAAACACACATCGGCCATCTTTTGGTTTTCCGATTAGTACATATATTGGAACACATTTGATCAATAGTGTCAACAGCACCCTTTGTACTGTTATAAAAGTGTATGATCTCTGGTTTTCCCGTATTTTCGTTTATATTGGGTTGATCATGAATTGTCAACAAAACAAAAACAAGTTTGTTTGATTTAGCTTTGTACGAAACTAATGTCTTATCACCGTCGTAACAAAACATCAGTTTACTTATGAGTCAGTTACGAGGTGATGAATCGAAATTTTTCAATTACTTTCGTATGTCAATGTCTACTTTTGATGAACTTCTTAAGCTATTGGAAAAGGATTTAAAAAAGCAAGATACTCGTTGGAGGAAAAGTATCTGCCCAGAAGAAAAACTAGCGATATTTTTAAGGTACGTACTTTTATTTTTAAAACTCAGACAGATCTAACGTAGCGTCACTGTATACAGATTGTAATGGCGATAGTGCACTATCAGTAGACTGTGGTCTGCTAGCATCACTGTATACAGGTTGTACTGGCGATAGTGCACTATCAGTAGGCTGTGGTCTGCTAAAATAGCCCTGGGATTGATAGTGACTAGCACCAGATGTTTGTGTATAGGCTGACCAGTCATAAGTTGACTGGCCAACTCTCCTATGTTTAATATTTTGTAATAGGTTTAGCACCCTTGACTGGAATTCCAAAGTTTGGTCATCATCAAGCAAAGCCAAAGACGGCAAGATACCTTTGAAGAACGATAAATTGCGATCATCCTGCTCAATTTTCTTCGGTCGGTTTAGTCAATGTAGGACGTCATTTTGGCATCAATTTCATTAAAATTTCTTTTGGCTGGTGCTCTGCGTTTTGGCGGGGGGGGCTAGATTTTGTTTGTCCTTTTGACTGTCATTGTCAAGTTGTGTCATTGTAGTCACACTGTCATCTTCGTTTGTAGGTTCATTCGATGTCGTGGTGTCATCTTCGGTGTGTTCTTTAATTTGTTTAGCAGATACGCTTTCGTGCGTTTCACCAGCAGCAACTACTTTTTTCAAAAACAGCATCTGATTATGGTATTTGTAGGGCTTCGTGTTTAAGACAGCGGAACCAGACGTCTTGCAATTCTTTTTATCTTTTAGTGTTCTCACCCAGGCATCTCTCATCTGTCTCTTCTTTTTCATAACAAGTTTTCCGAAAACAAGTTATAAAACAATTAATTTTATTTTCAGGTATGCAGCATCCGGATGTTCATTTAAAGATCTTCATTACACCTATCGCGTTGGTGTATCGACTGTTAGCAACATTATTAAAGAAGTTTCAAGATGCATATGGGAACAATTTAAGTGAAAAATTTATGCGACTTCCTACATCAGTCGACGAATGGGAACAGATAGCAAGTGGATTTAATAAAAAAAGCTAATTTTCCCCACTGTCTCGGAGCTGTCGACGGAAAACATATCCGACTTAAAAAACCACTGAATAGCGCAGAATACACTACACATACATACACTAAATAATTCACTGTATATCAATTACAAGGATTTTTTTCCCATCATATTATTAGCGATCGTAGACTCCGACTATCGCTTTGTATACGTCAGTGTCGGATCTTATGGAAAAGAATGCGATTCATCAATATTCAAGGAGACAACATTTTGGAAAATGATGCTAGACGGCAGTCTACAAATACCAGCAGCATGCCCATTAAGGTTTCGGATTACACGAAAATTTACTAAGGCCGTTTGGCGGGACGCATCTGGACAAAAATCTGGACGGCTCAAACAGTGATAATAACGTATCTGAAGAATTTAGTTACGAAAACCTACCCCATGAAGTAAGAACACGAGGTGGTAATAGGGGAAAGTGGGGTAGAATCGGGACGCTAACGCAAATAATCAACGAAACACAGGTTTGAAAGAAAATAAATCGACTTTATTAGGCAATATTTACTTAAGTTTATAAATCATATATTTTGCAATTGAGATCACTTTTTAGTTAACTCTTAATAGTAATAAAAAATAATTATACGAAAGTTATGTTTTTACGGTTTTGCCCAATGCCTAGTCCAAAACCGGATATACCAAAATTTTATACCCGATTTTGCCCCTTAACAACGGTAGCAATGGAACTCATCAAGTTCTTCTGGTTCCCAACCCGTACAACCTTCATGTGCCCAGTTCTTACATTGAAGACACTGCACCCATGCATCGCTCCTTCGCGTATTACCATAAATTTCAGAACAATACACACACATATCATCTGACATCTTTTTCTTTTTGAGATTTTTCATGCTAGCACTTAGTTTCGGAACTTTCTTCTTTTTTTTGTCTCATTCTCTTCTAATTCTATTTTATACGGTGAAGACGTTATGATAGCAGTTTTGCCTCTACGAGCATTTGAAATCGTTTTCCTTAAAACATGAGGTTTTGGTAAAATATCAGCCGGAGAAAAAGCTAAGGAAATCGAAGCTGACTGCCGTGAAGTACTTGGTTGTGGATTCACGGCTGACTGCCACGAAGTGCATGGTTGTGGACTAACTTCTGATTGCTCAAAAGTTATAGGTTAAGAATATATTGGTAACACTTCTGCTGTTAATGGTTTATTCTTATCCACTCTAGTGTCATGAATTACGTTTTCTGAAAAGTTCGCCATAGTCTGGGATCCTGTAATGTCATTATCTGTTGTAGAAGCAGATACGAAATCATGATCTGAGAAGATATTCGGATTCAAAGGATAAATTCCAGTTTTTGAGAAACCACTCAATGCATTTTGTAATGTTGCTGCTTTGGCATACGCAATTCCGAACAGTTTTCCAAGTTGGTACTGTGTTACAATTCGACCTGGATTATTGCGCAGCCATATCATCACTTCTTGGGTATAAAAAGTGCTTAATGGTCCCATGAAGCTAACGTCAAGTGGTTGCAGGCGATGAGTGCAGTGAGGAGGGAAACTGACAATAATGACTCCATTGTTTCGTGCTTTGTCTATCAAGGGAAGATTTTTGGTATGCGTTGAGTGACCATCTAGTAAAAGAAGGACAGGATAATCCTTAGTAGGTTTGACATTTGCAATGAAATGATCTAGCCAATGAACAAAAATGTAACTCTGGATCCATCCACTGGGATGGCACATGGCGATTGTTCCAGGTGGCGCACCGTCCAGCAATTCTGCTTTCATACGGACTCTCGGGAAAATTACAAGTGGTGGCACGTAAATGCCAGACGCTGATACGCACAAAACTGCTGTGGATAATTGGCCCCTTTCAGCAGAAGAGATAAGGCCAACTTGTTTCTTGCCTTTTAAGGAAAGAACTTTAGATTTCTTTTTGGGCACAGTTGTGATCCCAGTCTCATCGACATTAAATATTTTCGTGGGTCCAAATTTGTATTTATCCTGCAATTCAATCAATAACGAAAAGAATTTCGAGACACTGACTTTGTTAAACCCCATTGCTCGTGCAACGGAAGTGTTTTCTGCAACGCGTAACGACAATTCTGGATGGCGACGTAAGAACCCATAAAGCCAATCCATTCCAGCTAGTGCAGTTTGTTTGCTGAAATTGTGATCTATACCATTTTTCTCCGCCATTTGGAAAGCTAGATGTCGAAAATCCCTGTAAGTAAGTCCAAATAATTGAGCTTCAAGATCTTTTATGTGCTGACACATTAAATTTTCTTGCTCAGCAGTAAAAATTGTCTTAAAACGACCTAGCCCCTTTTTAGAAGCAATTACTAAATTGTTACAAATTCGATATTTTTTTACTCTATCTTCAAGTGTTGATTGTGGGACTGAAAATGTTCGAGAAGCGAAACGATATCCACTTCTTCTCTCTATTACTTCCAAAATGGCATGTCTCATATTTTCTTCACCCCAGGATTGCCGGTCCGTTTTTCTTTTATATTTCCGTGGCATTTTATATTCCCTGTAACAATTGACAATAATAATACTACATTAAATGAAACAAAAGTAAATTAATAATACGATAACTAAAAGTTGTACAAAACCGGGTACCACCCGATATTACCCCGTACGGTTTTGCCCCAAACGCCCTTCAAAGAGAAAAACAGAATTAATAACCTAAAATTTAGTTGCAATAAAGATTTTACTTTTGCTCATTTACACTCCAATACTTGCTTAATATTGTTAGATAACAAATTTGACTTACCTTGATATACAAGAATACTGATACACCTGTTCAATCCAAACAATATTAGATCAATTCACTATAAAAACGTTTTTCTTATTTAATTTCGTCGACTACGCACCGGCGCCATCGCAAGTTCGTTGGTAAACTAATCAAGTTGGCCAACCGCAGTGAGCGAAAGCGCGCGAAAATTTGATATTTGTAAGAGGCGATAGCGTCGTGTCCCGATTTTACCCCCATACCCGGTTTTGGTTCGAAACAACAATAGGTTCTGCTCATTTAGTTCGAACAGAATTCGTGAACTATTTCATGTCCGAAGCTGGATCAGTTCCTTGGCAGGATGAAGCTATTTAGAATGTAATTAAGTAATAAAACAGACACTTACCGAACTCTTGTCTTTGTTCCATAGCCTCAAAATCCTCCATTAGAATAATGCATATTTCGCTCCAACCTGCAATACTTGCAGTATTGTCTTTGTATTTATCCAGCGTCTTGTCCCAAAGGACTGGCCTATCTTCCACCAAACTGATTAACATTTCCTTGTCTATTAACTTTTCCCAGTCCTTGGTTGACATGGTTGATCAGTGATTATAACATTTATTACACACAATGCACGCGCGCGTTGTCTAGGAATGTACAATAGAAAATGTGAATCAAACAAAACCTGTCGCATCACTCCCCCTCCTACACCCCCCACACTTAAAATTCTACGTATCCGTATATTTGTACTGTTCCGTCATCCAGTATTCGATGACAAAACGGAATGTCATTTACGGAACGATATTTTTTACTGTATACAGAATACTGTGCCATGTGTGAAATCGCTCATACAACTACATACGCCATCGACGAAAAAAAAACGTACACGATAAAACGGAGACATGTGTGAACCGGCCGTTACTGTGCAAATCTCACATCTGTATGCCATGCCTCAAAACATGATGGGCAAAGTGGTGGGTTACCGAAGCACCCCTTACAACGATAGCAGGTTTGTTTCGATTTCTTGTTTTTTGTGCACACTCTGCATTTCAGGAATATTTTGTTCCGTTTAGTGTTTGCACGCACAGGTATCAATTCCGGCCAGTGGCAGGTTTGAGCATGTAGTGCTGCAACAGTAGACTCAGCAGTGTTAACAGAGCTACGTTTTTGCCTATTGGCACGCTTCTTTTTTGATATATTTACCATAATTTTGCTAATTTCAGCATCAGACCGATCAGTAAGCCCCAGGTACGAGCGAATGACTGTTTCTCTGAAGCTCAAAAGTGTGGCTTTCGAATCACAATGCCTGACATATAAATAGAAAACATTGGATACTATCATGTCAAATATGTGGAAAAATACTTTTTTGTACCACCGTAAAGTTCTTATTGGTGTGGAATAGTATGCGAGCATTTGATCCGCTCTGTCCATGCCTGACATGTATTTATTGTAATTCACAAATTCGATGGGTTTTATTTGTTGTTTTCCGTACCTATTGCGTGATACTACAAGGTGTGGGTGATGATTGGTGGTAATCATATAGACAGGACGTTTATCTTTCCAAGCGGAAACGTACACTTTCCTTTTCCTCTGCCAGATATGGTCGCCTTTCGCCAACAGCATCTTGAAAACTTCCTTGGGATTTTCTTTACGATCTTTCCTCAGAGTACCAGTAGTGTGGGTATTACACATAAGCAGTTTGTTGGACAAACTAACACTATTATAATAATTGTCCATATAAAGCTCATGGCCTTTGTTCAAATATGGCCCCATAAGATTCAGTACAAGCTTTTCCAGCTTGCTTTCATTTGCGTCTGTTACAGTGCTTTTTCCTTCATAAATTACAAAATTCAAAATATAGCTATCGTGTGTTGTTAAAACATAAAACTTTAAGCCGTATTTCTTTTTTTTAGACTTCATATATGTGCGGAAAGACAACCGACCCCTAAAAGCCATCAAAGATTCGTCTAAAGATAGTTGTTTTCCCGGTCTATATAGATGCTGAAAGTTCATTATTTTCTTAGTGGCAAACATTTTTATTTTATTCATGCCTTTGGAATCCAGCTCTGAAAGGCATAAGCAACGCAACAACTGTTCAAACCTTCGACCTGACATGGTATATGGAAATAAAGGATGGTAGTACAGAGGGTCTGTGTAAGTGAACAGCTTTCTTATGTTCGGCGGATCAATATGCCCCTGCAATAGGCACAGGTCTAAAAACTTTCTAATTTCTGTAGCATCTGTACTCTTAAAAGTCTGCTTCCTAGAACCTCTAGTGTGCGGATTATTCATATTGCACAAAGCCGCGCCGTAAGCATTTGTACAAGATACAATATGGTCAATTAATTCCGGAGTTAATATTTGCTCCAATAAATGTATTGGTGACATCGTATTACTTAGAGGTACTGTGGGTCCACAGTCAATGGTGCTAAATGGAAACTCTTCGATAGGCGCTGTACTGTTTTCCCAACGGCTCTCAATTGTAGGTGACGAAGGGCCTGGTCGAACGGCCCCGAACTGCAATGCAGTGGGCTGATCAAGCTGCGGTGTAGCAACGGTAGTTTGTAATGTCGCTAAACCGGATTCATCTCGCAAAGACCCAGTCGAGACTTGCTGCGGTGAGAGCGCTTCTTGCGAATGTGCAAACGCAGGTAGGTCCAGCTGCGACAAAGCCAAGGGCTCTCCTTGCGGTGAAGCAATAGTGGCTTCGTCTTGCAAAAGTGAAGCCAGAGGTAGGTCCAGCAGAGACAAAGCAGTAAGGTTTTCCGGCGGAGGAGTAGCGGTGGCTTCACGCCGTGAACATATAGCGGTTGGTTGGTCCACCTGCAAGGAATAACCTGTATCTACCCGCTCCGGTGCAGCAGTGGTTTCGTATTGCGAAAGTGAAGCTAAAGGTGGATCCAGCTGCGACGAAGTGGTGAAGTCGGCCTGCGGTTGTTTAGCGCTGACTTCGTCTCGAAAATATGAAGCGGTTGGTAGGTCCAGCTGCGGCGAGGCATTACAGTCTTTATGCAGCGGAGAAGAAGTGGCTTCTTCGGGTTGCTTTTGAGGCGAAGGTGAGTGTAAAAAAGAAAAAACGCGAGTAGAGGACTTTTTTTTATATGTACGGAGGTTCTTTTTAGAGGATTCTCGCTGCTTCTATCAGCATCAGAGTCAGTGCTGTCAGAGGACGCTTCATTCTCATCAGGTTTGTAGTCCATATCCGAACCGTACTCACCGTCGTCGCTAAACGGATCATATAGTTCACTACATGTTTCTACATCAACTCTATCGTTCTCGTCATTTGAAACCTCCGACTCTTCAACGCTAGAAAGACTTCCAGACGTCCCATCAGACGCCTCGTCAAATATGCTTTGCAACTTCTCGCTTTCATTGGCGTTGACCAGATTCGTTCGTTTTTTGGGAGGCATCTGCAACAAGTTTCCAACAAATAAGTAGATGCCTAAAATCGAATTATACTGATATTTACACGATATTTGTAATAATTAGGACTCTAAATTATATTCGCACAAAAATTTATAAGAACGGAAGACTTTCAAGAAACATAGTTTCAGTTGACTAACGAATCTATATAAAAATATGAGTTAAAGGATCTATGTAAAATAAGTAGTGTTTTAGAAGGTTAGACCATTGTAAACTGGGTTATAGTGCAAATAAACTATCATTTGTTTTGTATTTTAGTATTTAAAAAACCAATTATATAAATAAAAACAGCAAAACAATACTTACGAGGATAGAAACAGTGTGACAAAATGGCGTCGGCGCACGAATATCACTTTAATAACACGTGTCAACTCTCCGGTGCACTTGGCGCATGATTGAACAAAATGTCATACAAACACAGATTCTATAGCATTAATGTCGCAATTCGGGGGGAAGGACGGGCGAGGCGACAACAAATTTTCAATGTGTGCAAATAATATTTTATGGGACAGTAAACGACATTTATTGTAGATTACATGTGACAGTAAGCCCTTATATATACTAATTTACTGTGGTAAGGCGTATTCTTTAGCATTTCCGCCCAGGAAAGGGGGACGAACTTCGCTTGCTATAGCATTCGTGTCAATGTTCGTTAGGCAAATACGGATGTTATAGCATTGCTGTCCGCGAACGTGTTA